ACCCCCGCCGGCTGCAGGTGCGAGAGCCGGTGGGTGTCGCAGGAGCCTGCGATGAGGTGGGGGCAGCGGCGCCGTGCTGGAGCCGGCAGGTCGCAGGGTGGCGGGGAGCCTCGCCACAGCCACCGGATAGGCAAGTTTGCAGCACCTCCAGCTTGGATTTAGTCTGGCTTTTCAAATTTCTTTTATTTCATCTGCTTAATCGAGCTTTTGCCCCCTGTGACATCTCGGGCCACTATACTATAAGGGAGGGTCTATCTTAAATGCTTTAAAATTGGAAAAGCCCATGGTTTGGATCTCTTTGATAGTGTCATTGTACATTACAGAAGGGAAGCTGAGTCTCACATTCAATTAATATGTCCAAAACCAGGTAGAGACAATGAGAGCATTGATTTACTTTGACTACAGAGTTTTTTTCCATGAATGTGTTGACTCTTAACCTGATAAATCTATCCTGACTTCCAGATGTTCTGTGTTAGCATTGGACATAATGAAAAGAGACAAATTATTAATTGAAATCACATAGGACTACACCAATTCTTTTTTCTTCACAGGTAAAAGTGTTATAAATATTTTATACAATGTTTTGTGCCTGATCCCTCTTCTCCCAAGCCTCCCTCCCATGGATATTAATGATTTGAAGGTGGCTATGAGTTGTAACCTTGACACAGAATCACTAAAATCTGAGCTTCCTGGCATTGAGAAGCTATAGATCTGGCCATTTCAGAGATGGAGTGTTTCTCCTTTTGTTCAGTCCTCTGTGGATTAAATTTGTTTCTGAAAGTTTAAAACTTCTGAAAGTTTGATTTACTTCTAAAAGTTGGAAAAGTTGTTTTTAACAACCCATGGTTCCAACTTCTCAAATGTGACATTCATGGGAGGAGCATTCTAAACTCCTCCATTAGCTTCTGTGTTTCTATGCGACTCCCTGTCCCTCTGGTCACCACCATTTCTCCCAGTCACATAGTGCTATAGAATATGGACTGAGAGATGTCCAGGTCTTTCTAGATAGGAGAGGCAGAGGCAGAGACAGAAAAAGCCAGATGAACTACAGTAGTGGAGTTAGGGATTCTGGGTATAGCAGTCTTCACTGTCTCCTGCATGATGGGAGTGGTAACAACAGCTAAAAGTCTTTGGCAGCTAACACTAGTGATAATCCATGCTGAACACATCACATGTATTTTCACGAATGTCATATGGAGTAGATTATATCCTCTTGGTGTGCTAGATAAGGAAACTAGAGGTCGTGAGACTAGAAGCGATCTCAATGACATGGGTAAGAAGACACCTTCATAACACCTGCTTACTGCTTTCAAACCTCTTTAACTCTGGACTTCAACTTTATGTTATTGTTTTGTCCTACTGTGATACCAGAAAATTCCCTGTATGTTACTACATCTGCCTTTGAAATAATTTCAGATACAAGGTGTGTGTGTATGTGTTCACATGAGAAAGAGAGAGAGAGAGAAACTTACCACAGTAGAGTCCTGATATGGCTCTTCCTGAAATTATAAATATGTGAGATGGGCCAAATTTTGAAAACCCCATCAAGAGAGCTCCAGCTAATGAGAGAATGTTTGCTACCAACATGGCTTTGATTCTGAAATTTTAAAAAGCAAGAATTATAAATTCAACACCAAAACTCGATAACATTTAATTTTAGAGTATGCTAAAAATTTTACCTAAAACCAGTTATTTAAATTTTGCTGAAAAAGATATAGGGAATCTTAAGACGTGATTGTTAGTTTGATTCATCTGTAGACTAAAGCATTAACAATAAGTAATATTTATAAAGAGAGAATCTGTCATACAAGGACATTTTGATATGGGTGACTCAATTGTGGTGACTAGCTTGAGTTAAGAGAACATTTCTGATACTATTTCAATAGTTAATTAAGTGTTCTACAAGTTAATTGTTTCAAACAATATTACCTGGTGATAGTTAAATGTTTTATTTTTATTTTTAAAAGGATTTATTTTAGTTTTGCATACAGGAACTGGGATGTAGGTCAGAGAAGCAGAGGGTTGGGAGGATTTACCAGAGATGGGGAAGGAAGGGAAGAACAGGCCGATCTACTGAAATACACTGCTGTGGGGAGCAGAGGGCAAGACAGGGTAGGTCTGCTCTACCATTTGGAGATCAAACTCCTGCTGCAGTGCCTGCTGATAGCTTCATAGTGCTGAGACTTCCCCCCCTTGCACCACCAGGAGTAACAATAGTTACATTTAATTGTGTATTTGTAACTGTGACATGTTTCCCCCCACCCCCAATAGTATAAGTTTTTAGTTCATGTAAAAATCTCCAAAGTTAAACTTTCTTTTGTGTGAATTATTTCTAAGTAAATTAAAGCATACTTTTACTTTAAGCCTTATCATAGAAAATTATAATTATTATTATTTTAAGATTTCAGCATAATTTCCACAATCTATGAATTAATGTCAACCAATGTTCTAAAAATATTTTTAAATTAATCATAGGAAAATAGACAACACTTGCAGATATATGATGCTTTATTCCTATTAAATAAGAAAGTGAAGTACCAAAACTTTCCTTAAACTTCAGTAGATGATGAATAAGTTCACTAAAAGAGTATGAATGGACAGGTGTGAAAATATTTTTGCCACATAAATAGAAGGATCTTATTTTCTGTTTCTCTATTTCAAGCTCTTAATAAGTGAGTTTTTTTCTAAGCAAGTGTCTTTAATACCAAACAGTAGTTTTAGTTTTTAGTTTGCTGGAGAACAAAGCTATATAATGCTGTAATGACAAGTATCCTCATCAAAGGAGGGGCAAGAGAAGGAGATATCCGATTGGAGTGATGTGCTTTGAAGATGGAAGAAGGGGCCTCACGTCAAGGAAGGTGGGTACTGGAAAATAGTGAAGGGCAAGAAAAACAATTCCTCCCTCAGAACCTTCAGAAGGAACGAGTTCTGCACAAACTTTGACTTCAGCCCAGTAAAGCTCAATTTGGGCTTCTGGTCTTCAAAATTATAAAAAAAATAAATTTGCTTTATATTGAACCACTAAGTTTGTGGTAGTTCATTGGGACAGCAGTAGAAAACTAATACATCAAGTTATCAACTACCCAGTTAATTACCCACTCCCTCAAGGTGAAGGGAAACACAGTGATTTAGAAATGACCAGCTTCAGAGCTACAAAGTAGAAAAAGACTGATATTCCTTTCTCTGGAGTAATTTTTCTCTACACAAAGAGGGGGTAAATTCAACAATTTACCTTAAGAAATTGTCACTAGCTAGCTTTGATTCTATTGCAGAGAAAAAAATGAAACATCTTAAAAGAGCTAGCCTGAAAGTATTTTGATGTCAGATTGCTCTAAAGTTCCTCTTCCTTGCCACCAGTGGATGCAAGAACAGTTTATACAACTTAAAAGAGTTCTGTTCAGATGTGACAAACCACCAAAGAATAAACAATCTAAAATACATGAAATGACTGGATCCAGAAGAAATAAATATATTTTTAAGCATATTAGAATGCTTTTCTTTAGATTCTCCTGTTAGTGTAGGTTGCATCATTGACATCATCATCATTACATCAAAGTAAGTCTATGCTGCTGCTGCCTACTTATTGTGTGAACCTCTTTAAATTCATTTGTATTTAGAGCAAAGTAAGAGTTATTTTTTCCCCATGTTCAGATTTGGACAATTTAGAGAACTTAAGAAACTTGCTTATTTTTATTATATGACACATTTGGGATTTGATCTATGTGACATCAAAGGGAATTGCATCATTTTATTGAATATCATTTTTTAAAACAAAAGGAAGACTACATCCAAAGGCAATGGATACATTTCTTGACTCAGGGTAGTTTGTATAGAGTACTGTCTTCTCTACTACATTTATAATTACATTTTAAGTTCATTGCCTCTAGAAAAACTGGCATTGCAAACTCAAATCTGACATAGTAACCACAGACATCTATGGACTATTACAAGTCACACGGAAAGACTTTAAGAAGCAGTAGTGGAAAATACATTTTTATTTATTTTCTTTTAACTAGTGGGGCAATTATCCTTATAAGGAAAATTGTATCATTTTTTCAGTGAATTTCTTTAGAAAAACAGATTTATGGAAGAGACTGAACTCTTTTGTCTAGATTTTGAAGATAATCGTATGCTTTTTTTCAAGGAGGATTATACATTTTTATGTGTGTGTGTGTATATGTGTGTGTGTGTACATATATATATGTCTATATATCTATATAAAAGTAGATATATAGATATATACACATACACTGAAAGCTGGAAAAAAAATCCTCTCTTTTGCTTTACCTTAAGTTATTTGGTAAATGGTCATTTGATATTGTCTTGGCATGTAACTATGCATGTTGGTTCCAGCACTAAGGCACTAGTTTAATGAAATAGAGTAGGTCACTGTACCTGTTTCTTCAGGGATGGGAAGAAGGATAAAACAGTAGCTACTAAAGGAATTATTTTGTCCATATTTGAAAATCACTTCATTTCATCTATTTTGGAAATAATTAATCTAGACAGCCTTCATGTATTGCTTAAACCAATTTGATTCATATTTAAATGATTTTTCAATTTTTTAATGATAAAAATAAGTTTCTGAACTGTCTTCATGGATTCTGATTTAAAATTCAGCTCAACACCAGTAAATTGATAAAAATGTGAAGAACTGACACTTTTCTATTAGAAGAAAGTTCTTTTTTCAAGCCAGAACAAAAATGAAACTAGGGTCACCAAGCTACCCATTAATTAAGAAAACTTATAGTTGTATATTAAAGCTACAGTAAGAAAAAGATGTCATTAGAATTCTTATTTACCAGAAAGACAAAATTATAATTTGATATAAATTTTAAAACTAAATAAATTGCACTCCAGAATTACAGTAATTCTGTACTTGTATATCTTTAAAAGTGTTTGCATTTTCTAAATTTTCCATAATAGCAATTTTATAATCAAAAGAGAGCAATTTAGTAAGCAAAAGATGGACTCAAAGAACAAACACTACATAAAAAGAAATAACCATTTGATGTCCTGATTTTATTTCTCCTCTTTGGGGACTGGGAGGGAATACTAGAGAAGAGAAATGAAGGCACCACTTGCTTCATCTCGGCTGGTGCTTTGTGACAGCAGTAGCAGCAACTAGAAACCACATGCCAAGTGTTCTGGCAACTGGGTCCTGGGGAGATTGACTTGAACTTGGAACTTGATTAATGCAAATGCCAAACTCTCTTTTTCAAGTCAGATTTCACTGATTTCCCAATTGTTTGCATAACTATATAATGTTGGGTGTCTTCACGGCTCTGTAAACGCACCCACTCCCCTCATCCTCCATCAGAACCCCTGTGCTAACTGTTGCACATTACTTCTCCCAGCCTTCTCTTTCTTCCTCCATTTCCGTTGATAAGCGGTATAATTTTTACAGAATGGAAGAATTATTTTGCCGTGTTTTGCCGTTTGTTTGCTTTTGTTATTTATATTCCACAAGAAAAATGAAGCCATCAGCTGACTGTCTTTCACTTGTTGACTTTCTTCTCTTAACATAATCACCTCAAGGTCCATCCATTCTGTTCAAAAAGGTACTATTTTGTCCTTTCATTAAATGCCAATTTCGAATTTGAAAATGAAAAACTAAGTATCTGAGAAATGGACTGAGTCTAAGAAACAATGAGCTTCCAGGATGATACAGGCCACTCTTGGTAGTTATTCTGAGTTCCTGAGTTAACCATTTCCCTAGTTGTTTTCTAATGTTTTATAACTTAAAGAGCCAGAGAATGAAATTCATTTGCCAAAATTACACACCAAGTTTACATTTGCTATAAGTATCTCTGCAATTAAACAGATTGTTGCAAGATATTTCTCCACGACTTCATCCAACATTGACCTAACTCAGAGGATCTCGAGTTCAAAAACACTAACATTATTCTACAAAAAGAAGAGGAATTTCTTTCCAAAAAAATTATAATAAATCCAAAATACTAAAGTTTCTTATCTATGAATTTCATACCTTCCAAGTCGGTCCCCAAGCCACCCACCAAAGAATGATGCGATCATTCCACCAATTGCAAAGATGGACACAGACAGTGACCAGAGAGTGACAGCCAGGTGCTGGGTGGCCACAATCTCTTCCTCAGCCCAGGAGGTCGATGTTGGATTTTCAGGGTTTGGAGTTGTAGGCAATTCATTTGTGTTGTTGGTAGCATCAATGTTGATAGCTTTTCGGTCATCCAGTGGGACACCCAAAACACTTCTATAATGGGATATTATGATCTGAGGAAAAAAAAATAAA